GAAGAATGCAAATCATGTTTTTTTTTTTTTTTTTTTTTTGGCCAACGTACCTGAAAATCAGCTGTGAATTGTAACATACAAAAACTCAATAAAACAAATATATTATTTAGTTTCAAATGCTTTTATTTGTTTTAATTTGTTTTTATGAATATGGACAATATTTTCTGAAAGCAAAAAATTTTTCAATGAAAATTGAATTTTAATACAATTATTTCTTATTTCTTTAATTTTAAAAAGATTTTTAAAAAATGTTTAAATTGAATTTTAAAAATATTTTAACATTAGTTAAAAAGCAACATCAACCTTTCAAATGTCCGTGTGAGATTGTCATTGTCTAGCGCTTTGAAAATTGTATAATTTGGACCAATCAGATTAGCAATGGTAATTAAGAAATGTAATTTTGTGTTTATAGTCGGACAGTAATTATCAAGTACGGAAGACCAATCAGAATACAATTTAGTTGCATTATTTGAGTTCAGCATTGTTCTCCGCTGTTAAGCCCTTTTACTTTTTTTGCGAAACACATATGGAGAAGTTAATTTAAGTTTTCAATTTCAACTGAGAAGGGTACCTACAAGTAACAGTATCATCTTATGAAATTTAACTACTGCTAAACTTTAATTTATATGATCTTATTTTTATATTAATCTCAGTTATGACATTTTTCCATAAATGAAATATCAAAATTAATAATAAAATGAATGGAAATACAAATAACACAGTAAAATGTAATAAATGTACATAAAATTATAGTATTTTATGTACACTTCTGATAAAATTTCATAAGAAAGGTACCTAAATTAATTAGATACCTTTTTAGGAAATTTAATCTCACTATTAACAGTCTTATTTTTTAATTTCTTTATATTTTCCATAAAGCATCGTAAACGTAAAAATGAAAGCTAAGTACAAAATAAAAATAAAATAAAAAATTAGAGCGCTGAAAGTTTTCCTTAAAAGTAACAAGGTAAATAATTTGTTCACTTAAATAATTTCAATTCCTTCCATCCGTAGAAAGAATTATCCTCCCGTAAGTTATCTAAACATCATGAATGTGCCTTTCGTCAATCGTCAAGCGACGCGAAAGGTTATGACCTGCTTTGTTTTATTTTCAAATTACATTTTTTCGGCACAGAAGCTAAGTTAAGCTTGGTTCAAAATATTTTAAATAAACAATATAATTTCTGTTTTTATTAAAATCAGTTTTGAAAAAATGATAATTAATTTTTAAAAGAATATCAAATTCAGCTTTTAATCTTTTTTATCAAATCGAAAAAAATGATTGAAAATGATTGATTTCCCTTTTTTTTTACCAAAAAAAACAATATTTTTGACGAAAATTTCAGACGTGCTAGGAACGATTAAAAAATGTAAAAAAATACCCCTAAAATACTTTGATCTTTCCTCTTTAATAATAGTATGAACATTAGACGATAAAATTTTGTTTTCGTCAAGTTCGGCTTTTTTTTCATCATGCTATGCTCTTTTGTTTACATTTTCGTGTGTGAGTTCTCCCTCTTTCATTCTCACGATGTGTCTTAATCGTGTTTTCAAATTGATTTTGTTAAAAAACAACTGTGTTTTTCCCATTTTCGGCACTGTTAGAACCATCACAAGGTAATTTTATGTAGTCCTGTGAAGTTTTGTTGAAATCGGCTAAAAAATGTAGGAAATTCGATCCAATATATAAACGTTACAGACACACACAATCTGCGTTTTATAATAAGTAAGATTCTTACTCTGTCCTGGGCATATATATAGTTTTAAACAAGTTAATTATTTCTTTGTGGTCTGGTAGCAAATGATCCACTAACTGGTACTGGTCCATGACCCAGTGTTTTGGTACCTCTGTATTAATGGACACTGCTGAGTCTACTGTACTGACTTTACCCTTGTTTGTAGTGAAGGGTCATTTTTATAATGAGATTTTAGAATGATGGCAAGGTTGTAAAAAGGATGATGAAAGTTTTTATCTTGATTTCAGGGATGATGAAATATCCTTATTTTCTATCATCACTAGTGGCTAGGGTATTTTTACAATGATGAAATATCATCATTCTGGATCATAACACTGCAAAAATCTGATCTTTAATAATAGTCCAAATGATTATCAAATTAATGTGAAAATGTAAAAATATTTCAAAAAAATAAAAAATGAAGTTGATGATGGCAGGATGAAGACTTAGCAATGGGCTTACACAGCAGATTAATAATTCAGAAATGCTTCATCAACGTGTGTTATGGGGGCCTGCAAAACCATTCGACACCATGTGGGAGTATTTGAAAGGACCCACCAGTCATTGATTCGATGGGTGCATGCATGTGTAGAAGCAAAAGGAGGACATCAGCCTTTGAATTTCCATACTATTTGACATTTTTTTTTTTATTAGCATTATAAAAATTTTATTCCAAACAAATCCAAGTTCTTATGCCAAAGACAAAAAGAAATAGCAAGACATTATAATAGGCACAAAATCACAAAATAAGACAAACACTGCATAAAATTTTAAAAAGAAAAACACATTTATTTACAATTGCAATTATGGTACAAATCCATACAGTAATTTTTTGAAAAGTCCCTTTCAACTTTACACAGTTCATGGGGAAAATTCTGAGAATGCTTTTCATTCTTGGCTGTCCAACCACAGGAGAATTTTCACTTAAAAATTCTTCAGTTTCTCTGTGGCTGCCTGGTAACTGGTGCCTTGTTTGATGTTCTCTTCTTGATGTCAAATGCCTTTTTTAATGTTTACCTGTCTTGTCCCCTTGCTGTCAATAAATTTTCTCCTCATGAATTTTAAAAAATTGGACTCACACCTGAACCAATATTTGGGATGTTACTAGAGCTTGAGTCCATGTCTCTCATTGGTCAGTATATATGAAAAAATAATTTTCCATGAACAGTAAATGGATCCTTCACAAATTTTAGTGTGTTTTAACTGCTGAGCCAAAAATGTCATAAAAATGTAACAATTTTTACACAAACCTTCTGACTGTCATAAAAACACACTTCTTTAAAAAAAAAAATATTAAAAACCTATAAAATTATACATTTATACAAGGCTAACATTTTTAAAATAAAATTTTTATAGCATATCTAATGTGCCGCCTTTGCTTTTTCTTTCAGTATTTCACAGTGTTTGTAGAGACAGGAATAAATTCACTTTTCAAGCATCAGTTATTTCTTAGAGCTGTCTTTAACAGAAGAAAAACCTTGAGAGTGATAACAATCTTATTTAAGAGAACAAGTTTATCCATGACAGACTTTAAATAAGATCATTACCCAAAAGAATCATTGAACTACACAGATAAAATGTCAGTAAATAGGTATTTTTTATATTTTTTTTAATAATCTTATCTTGTACAATACAGCATCTTGTATGAAAGCTTTCTCTACATTAAAGAAGTGAAAAAAGTTAAAAATGCTTTTCTAGGTTGCATTTAGATTTAATAAACTCTTAGGGTTAGCAGGTTCACCCAGGTTTGTTGCATGGACAGTTTACTGTACTGTATTTTTTATGATCAATTGTCATCAGTTTGTATCTGCTGTTACTACCATGTCTTATATGAAAACTTATCTATTAAAAGATTATCTTTGTAAAAGATAGTAAATTCGGTTAAATTAAGTCTTTTTGTAATAAAGAACTTGAAATACAAGTCTTACTAGTTGCAACTTTACCAAAACAGCTTTTAATCAGTCAACAAAAGAAATCAATATACAGTAACAGGTCAACCAATTGATAAAAGGATGTCATGAAAGCAGAAAATAATGTAAACATATTTGATAATTGATACCTGATCTCTTTACTGCCTTGATATTAAAGGTGATCAACTTCCATTGTCTTGTAAGACTTTTCACATCTGACCTGGAATAGGATCAAATTTTCCAATATCACTATCCGGGCAGCTTCTTCTAGGATTGCCAAGACCTCCCTAATTATCTGAGTTTTCACCTGTATGCTATACAAACCTCTCCTAAATATAGTAAGTAACTGCTTCTTCATTGCCAGATCCCTATTAGGTTCAACCTTAAAGGTCTTGTTAAATAGTAAGACTACCTTACATTTATACTCTTCTATATTTTCCCTCCTGTAGTTGTCCAATTGTCAATAGTTATTGTAACACTTCTGTGGGATCTATGGTTTCACATAACATCGGTCCATCAGTGCCCTCTGAATTCAAATTAAAAGAATATTCAAGTCTAAAGTCACAAAATTTTTTTAATCACTTTACCTCAAGCAAGGCAATAATGTCACTAAGACACAAGGGAGCTACTTGAAATGAAAAAGAATGAGAAAATGGACAATAAAAAAAGGGATAACATAGACAGAAAATAGCAATTGGCATTGCATTTAAATTTTTGAAGTTTTTAAGTAACAAGGAAGCAAGAAAGTGAGTTCCACAAGTGAGAAGTGCAAGAAAAGAAACTATGAGAACATAAGATTGCATCAAGTGAGTTCAATAGTAACGCCGTGAGACTTAATTGCCAATCTAGTAGTACACTTAAATTCATGTAGTTGAGGCACTAAGGAGAAAATCTCATCAGAACAATTGCCATGAAAATTTTTGTAGAAAGTTCAGAGGGAAGCCATGATAAGTGAGACAGATTTTGGAGCCTTATTTATCTTTAAAAAAAACTGTTTATCAGGTTTTGTGTCTATTTTGCCAAAAGTAGCCCTTATTTTACTAACTTTTATTTTAGGCCAGAGCCATTCAGTAAAACTAAGTTGTATAACAATTCAGTGCTACTATTAAATGAAGTATAAAACATATTTTAGAAACATATCCATTTTTTAAGCTTAGCTTAGTTTGGCACAAGGCCACAATTATCAGGCACTTATTGAGTACTGAATTTACTACACAATAGGAATACTTAACAAGATTAGCTTAATAACTATTATCCCATGATCTGTACCTCATGATATTAATAATTTAATGACATTTCTAATATCAAATATCATAGTTTAATGAATTAAAATCGTTAAACAGCAGCTGGCTTATGGTTATATCATATTGAAACATTGGTTCCTGTATGATCACTGAAGTTAAGCAACATCAAGCATGGCCAGTACCTAGATGGGTGACTAATTGGGAATACCAGGTGCTGTAAGCTTAGATGTGTGCTTCGTGTAATGGATAATGGCTCAGAATCTTTAATTCCAGTTGGATTCGTTATATTCACTTTTGCTCAAATACTCTTGGGATAGGTATGAAGCCACCTCTTCTCCCCTCATATATGGGTTAATTAGTAAGACTTGTATCACTAAAACCATTATATCTCCACAGTAAAAAATAGAATTGCATACAAAAATATTTAGATTTTGGCATTAAATAACCTATAGAGGTTGATATGGCACTAAAACAGACAAAAAAAATTAAACATTAGCTTGCTGTGGAGGGTGAAATTTTGGGCTTTGTAAAAATATCCAAAATTATCCATAAGGAAAAAGGAGAAGAAGAAAGATAAAGCTCAAAAAAGCTGCTGCTGTTTCTTCTTCTTCTTCTTCTTCTTCTTCTTCTTCTTCTTCTTCTTCTTCTTCTTCTTCTTCTTCTTCTTCTTCTTCCTCCTCCTCCTCCTCCTTCTTCTACTTCTTCTTCTTCTTCTTCTTCTTCTTCTTCTTAAATAAATTTTATTTTTTTGTTATTTCCCTTAAACCCTGTTCTGCCATCCATTTACTCAAGCTCGTTAGGTAGGTGTTGTAACCTAGGAAAGTTTGCTGAATTGAATGATCAAATGAAGGTTGGTAATGAACAACAATACTTAGGACAAGAACAACACATATAAGATTTTCTAGTGGTGTGTAGAAGTAGTCAACTGCTAGAAGTGAGTCAAGTGAATTCCCCAGTAAATTTCCAATGGCTGACCAACATACAGTATTCACTACTGTATATATGGGAATGGGGACACATCCATTATCATCCATAGGTATGCTACAACAGTAGGTTACACTGCTGTTTTCCTCTGTCCCTCCTGCCTTCAATCCATCCTGTGAGAATCAAATTTTCCAAGCCTTCTTTTCTCATTGTGTGCCCTAGAAATTTCAACTGTCACTTCCTGTTATCAAGTATAAGTGTCCTTTTTATTTCCATTTTTGTTAAAAGTTTGTCATTGCTTACATGTTCGGTTCATGGTATTTCCACATCTTTCTATAGGACCACATTTCTATTGCCTCAAGTATTTTCTTCTTCTCTGATGAGATTGTCTAGCTTTCAATTATTCATTTATTATGTATATAATATATACATGTACATATATATATATATATATATGTGCACACACACACACTATATATATATATATATATATATATATATATATATATATTCAGGAAAGGCAATCTAAAGATAAAATTTACTAAGAGCTACAAAGAATATGAAATTGTGTAAAGATTGATTGTTTTTATGGTTTACCAATCCATTTCAGATTATTTAAAACCAGATAATGTTTGGATTTTAAGAAATTTTGTGGTATAATAAACATTACTGATACAAGTCCTACTATTTAACCCATACTTGTGGGGATAAGAGGTGAATTCACACCTTCCCCAATGCTATTCATGCATAAGTGGATATAATGAAATGAAGTGGAATTGAAACTCAGCTTTCTGATTTTCAATTCTGTGTCATTATCCATTACACCACCCACACATCTAAACTTACAGCACCTGGTATTTTCAAGTGGTTACCCATCCATATACTGACCAGGCTCTATGTTACCTAAATTTAGTGATTGTACAAGAACTAGTGTTACAACGTGATATGGCCATAAAGGAAATTGTAAAGAGCCATGATTGCCTCCATCCTGAAAGGTCACAGCACATAGAAGAAAAATAACTTAAAAACTATGCCTAAAAGCTGACACTTTGCAGATTACACTGTAAAAATTAATTAAAGTTTATTTTAACATTATACACTTAGTAGAGATATTCTATCTTAATAATTTTAAATGAAATAGAGTTTTATTTTGTCTGGAACTGATTAACTAATGGAATATGTTCTAATTATGTGTCTGCTATAATTTGAATCTGTCTATTGTTCATTTTAGCAAATCTAAACATTTATCACTCTGTATGTAACTTCATTTACTGTACAAAAAGTTTATCCTGCCATGACTCTGATCTCTGAATAATAGTGTTTGAATTTGATAGTCCTGTACTGCTATGACAACTAAGATATTACTTAATATATTCAGGAGAGGTTTGTATCATATGCAAATGCAAACTCAGATAATTAGGCAGGTCTTGGCAACCCTAGAAAAAGCCTCCCAGATAGTAATATTGGAAAATTTGATCGTATTTCAGGTCAGATGTGAAAAACTCTTACAAGACAATGGAAGTTGATCATCTTTAATATCAAGGCAGTAAAGAGATCAGGGTAGGAGGCAGACTAGGTATAAGGATATTGTAATTAAGAGGCCTTGAAAAATAATGCAATGGAAATGGAAGTAATAATAATAATAATAATAATAATAATAATAATAATAATAATAATGCAGAGTGCTAAAGGTTAAAGAAAAAGTAAAAGAAATCCATTTTTCTTCATAAACACAGCAAACATATTAGATGATGTAAATATATTAATTAATTAATTATAGTAAATACATTTTTTTATTTTTCTTGAAGAGTGAAATTAATATCAACTGGCCTAGATCAAAAGATGTGCATTACCTTGTTAAAATATTTAACTCAACTACAAAAAAAAAGGAAAGGAAAAGAAAAAATTGCAAATACAAAATTTTAAATTTTTAAATTTATATATTTTTAAATTTATAAATCTTTAAATTTATACTGATGTTGACAACTTTTGTACAACAAGAAACTGATTGACACAGGAGGATTTCTTAATAACTTCTTTTACTATTTTATCTCAGACTTTTACTTGGCCTGGCTAATTGATATGTTGTCTCTTGTTTATACATGAGAATATTTAATAAAAAATGCTCATCTTTGTTTGAAAGTGTGCTAATTGAAGAGTATAAAATTTCTAATAACTTCAGAACTGTAAATGACAAAAAATTAAAACATTGTAGATTAAAGCACTTTGTAGGTGACTATTTTTGCCAAGCAAAATGTTAGTCCTGCCAATGGAAGTTGAATTTGTATTTCTTGGTTGTGTAGTCATATCCTTCTATGTCAACACCTAAAAGAATCTTGACTGAAATTGAGAACTAAGCTACTGCAATTTAAAATATATAGATCTAATATATAAACCCCTATATTTTGAGGGGATTCCACATACAGTAAAAAGGGAAGTAATATTTATAAATGATGCAGAGTACTAAATGTTAATAATTTGATATATGTTTTAAGTGCTGTGTAAATTTTATCATTTTACATAAATATTAATTAAATTTATTTTAAGTTGATATCCACTCAGTAAGGATATCATATCTTATTAGTAATCTATACATTTCACCAAAACCAGCTTTTTGTAAAAAAATTATCATTGTATGATTTGTATTTATGAAGATATTTTAAAATTAAAAAGCATTAGAATGTATTCAAAATTCTCAGAATTAAAAAGTAAAAAAAATAGTAAAAATACTTATTCGTAATTAATATTACCTTTTGTTTTTATAGATTACTGGGCAATGTTTCATGGGAAGAAGCTGCTCTAGTAGAACTTACTTCTCACTGATGGAATATGAAAGGAATGTGGGTGGTTTGCTACTATGGAAGTGGTATGGTGGGTCCTAGCTGTGACGGTTTGCTTTAGTGGGACTAGGGAATGTTATTCATCCAAGCACTTTCCATGGAAATAGCAGTAGAGGAGAGGGATTGAATGATGGAGAATAAGTCAGTCAGGGATTTCTGGCCAACTTAATATTTTCTCACCAAAAAAGTTTTGCACATGTTCAACGTGAAAAAAATGCACATAAGAAAAAATAAAGAGTCATTTTTTTATTTTATTTTCTATTTCATATGTGAAAAGCGGTTACCTCATCTTTAGAAAAAAAAATTGCATTTATAAACACTCATTTGAAAGTTTAAGAAGCAATTTTATTGAATATAAAATTTTTTCAGTGCCAGTTGAGATGAAGTCCAATTATCGTTTCAAATTATTCTTATTTCAGAGTTATTCTAATTTCCAAAAAAAGTTTCCGTTTCCATTTCCAGGCTAGATCATCCAAAATCTCCTGAGGATATTCCAGTATCATATTTGTATCATATTTGGAAATTATATTACGAACTTAACCTTTTAATATTATTGGGTCCTGAGGTCTATTCACCTGTTGAGCCTGATATTGCATATTATCATTGTTACACTGGTCTACACCGCAAAGGCACCAATAGTCATTCTCAAAATAACGACATCCAACTCCAAAGGGTGGTTTTGGCTCATTATCTGTGCAACCACGAATGACTACTGAAAAAGGACAAAAATGATTATATAGATATAGTTATAAATGTTACATAAATTTATTATTTATAATTTATTTAATATTTATTCTTTATTAATAGTTCTGATGAATCATTCAGCAATTTATTCTCCCCATTGATTATGACTTCCTGCCAATGATCCACTAGCTGTTCAATGATTTGACAATAGAAATCATTAGGTTTTGACTAGAAAAATTAATGAAGCCATGTTTTAAACTCCAAATCAGTGTAAAATGAAACACCCCCTGAAATTGTTAGAAAGCATCCAAAAAAGCTGGTAGTCTAAAGGGGATAAATCAGAAGAATATTGTAGGTGTAGCATAACTTCCTAACCAAGCTCTTTAATTGCATTGAGTGAAATTAACAATAAGGATATCGTAATTGAGAGGCCTTGAAAAAAAATGCAGCGGAAATGGAAGTAATAATAATAATAATGCACATTTCTAAAGGTTAAAGAAAAACTTAAAAAATCCATAGATTTTTTTAAAACTTTTTCTTCACAAACACAGCAAATGTATTAGATCATGTAAATATATTAATTAATTATAGTAAACATATTTTTTTATTTTTCTTCAAGAGTGGAATTAATATCAACTGGCCTAGATCAAAAGATGTGCATTAGTCTGTTGCACTTATTTTCACACTAATGCCATTGCCTGTCAGCTATGAGTGAAATAAACAGATAACTCTGAATGCTGAAAACAACAGGAAGCAACTCTGCTAAGTTTCTC